GGGGGGGGGGGGGGGGGGGGGAGGGGAGGGTTACCCCTTGCTGGCCCACGGTCTACTACCTAAGACTAGTACTTTGAAAATATGAAACATTTAGCAAAATCCAGGTGGGGCCGGAAAAGGCCCAAAACGATACTCCTCCTTTGTTATCAATTACGTTCTGTCCATTCTTCCAATCCACTTGCTGAAATGTCCTTATACTTCCCTCTTACCTAGAAGAGATAGAAACTTGCGATTCATTGTATAAGACTACAGAAAAAGTGCTGCATGGTAAATGATAAATACTTAAACATGAATGATTTGAGTAATATGAAAACTCTGATTTTGTGCTTCAGAGGTTTTGCATTATAACAAGAAACATTTAATCCTTCTGCAGCTCTTTTTTCTGAGGAAATCAAAAGAAGCAACCTTATTGAAATCTGGGCAGTTAAAACAAAACCGCGCACTTACCTACAAATGAGCCATTCTAAAGCAAGTCGTGCTGGTTTCAGCAACACAAACGGTGATAGGAGAAAAATAAACTTCTGTAACAGTTTATTGAGTTTATTGTTTTTTTCCTTTGTTTCAACTCCTCGTTCAAAAAATACTGATGTCTCGCTGAAGAGGCTCTCCCTGAACACTTCAAAGCGCGGATTGATTTCAATGAGATCTTTGAGACCCTGTAGACCTGCAGAAGGAAAAAGTTGAGGATGCAAGTCATAAATATAGTCAATTTTGTTGAATGAACTTACTCACAACCACAGACTAATTTAGTAGCTCGATTATTCTTACCAAATTCGACCTATCTAAACATCAATGTACAGTGGTTCCCGTGTAAACAGTAATAAACCATAACAGCCGGTTTCAAATCCTTTGTTGAGTAGTTCTTTCGTTACTTCATGACGAATTTAAAAGGCATATAGACACACAATTTCTATAACTGTCACTTACATTCATGAAATAATGATATAAATTTATTTTGTGCAATGGCACACTCATTTTTATTTTTTTCCTGATAAAATATACCTCAAATGGGCCTTTTCTTGTTTGCAATTTTTATTTAAATCAAATTTTTTTTTTAAATTATTATACATCCATTTTTAAAAAATCACAAACTTCGCCCCTCCCCCTCTCTAAATACGGCCTTGACTGGCAGCAAACAAAAGGAGTAGGATTCTGAAAAGCTACCATTCTGGCACATATCCTGGTACGTTCAATCTTTAATAACCAAATCATGGACCCAAATACTGATGATCTGGTACCTGGGGTGTTCTCGGATAACTACATGGACTGCTGGATTTTGACTTGTTATTTTCAGGATGGTTAGACCATTAAGAGAGAAAGATGATAGTGGAAATGAAAAATAAAAAATTATGAACTTTTAAAATATTTTAGTATCACATGTACTTACAGCAAAAAACAAGGGGAAGAGAAAATGCATATGACAGGCTCCAACAAAAATATGATTTAATCTATTTCTTACGTTGTGCATTAACTGAGTTTAAGTGACGCCAACCTAGTAATTTATGCCAATAATAGAAAACTAAAAAGAAATCTAAAAAGAAATCGATCCCGATATAAGTATATCAAGTTCCGAAACATCGATATTCACATATATTGAACCTCAAAATCGATATTTTACTGACACCTTGCCTTACTGCAAATTGGCCCCTAAATTGGGCAGAATTTCCAAAATGTCGACAGCCTAACGTGAGAATCACACATCTTTATAAGCGAAGTTGCAAACTTTTACTAATTTTGAATTTTTTTCAGGAAAAATACCGATTCTCTCCACTATTATTTCATGAGAATGGCTGCTACAGAAATAGTGATCAAAACCCCCAGGGATGGAAGTTTAGTCCTTCAAAGTTTCCTTCTTTACCCACAAAACTGTAGGTGTAAAATACAAAACTAACCAGAGGGAGGAAAGAAAAATCAATTCGATATTTCTAGAATCGATACGGACGATACATCAACGTTGAAATATCGCTACAATATTATCGATATTTTGGTCTAAATATGGGCCAGCGTTTCAGAAGTTTTAGGTGATATAGTCATGGAGAATTTGGAAGTTGAGGTTTTGAGAACTATGCCGTATCTCATCCTGTATCACAAGCGGTTTAAGGACGACCTATTTTTGTGCGTTCGTCAAGATGAGGTTCAGCTTATTAAAGGTTACTTAAATGATTATAACCCTGACCTTCAGTTTACACTGGAGGAAGAGGCTGATAACAAGCTGAACTACATGGACATGACTTTGGTTTGATCCAATAATGTCATTCATAGTAAGTGGTATCAAAAACCAACCGCATCGGGCAGATACGTAAATTTTCGCTCTGTTCAGCCATACTTGTATAAAAAAAACCTCGCTTTGAACCTAGCACGCCGCATAGTTAGACTCACCAACGTTATATACAGAAGAGAAGCTGTTGAAAAAGGGAATGATCTACTTTCTGAGAATTCCTACCCAGAATCTCTCATAAACGCGGCTTTTGAGTGGGCTCTATAATGTTGGAAGGAATACTTATACCTACAACTGTTCGTCACAAAATCAATCCTTCAAAAGTCATCAGCATCCCTTACGTTCCATTATCGTCCAAAAAAATACCATCATTCCTCCGGAAATTTGGGTTTGAAGTAGTCCAAAAAAATGGACCACTAGACAAGGTACGAATTTAAGCATTCTGATACATGTTTCTTAACCAGAATTTCACGTAGAGCACGATTTGCGTAACGAAAACTAATAAGATTAACTCCAAACGAAGATATTAATGTTTTTATTTCACATTGGTTACGAGGAATTTGAACTGCCCGCTGACAAGAAACTCAAAGCTCTACGTGAGTCAAGTCGCGCACTACAACGGTTTCAACAAGCTTCTCAATCGAGCAATTTTCATTTCCCACCATGTGTTGTTCAAACTATAATCAATTTTCTATAACTGAGCCACAGCGTCAAAATTGAGGTTGCCAGATTTTTAAATCGCAGATACTGTCATGATAACGTTTAGCGCGCGATGTGAATCATGCAGAGCATTGAGTTTTCATGAGCGGGTGGTTTGAATTCGTGGATCAAGAATCATTAAATATCTTTAGAAGGAGTTGATTTCGGTAATTTTCGTTGTGCGCGTCGTATTATAAGTGAAATTTTGGTTAAGAAACATGTATCAGAATGCTGAAATTCGTACCTTGTCTAGTGGTCCATTACAACACACTTCAGTGTCTCATATCACAAGTAAAGGCACCCACTCCTCCTCTCAATGAGTCAGGGGTAGTTTACAAAGTCAAGTGTTCCGAGTGTGCTGTCATTTACACTGGCATGACACGTCAACTTCTTAAGATGCGATTAAATGGACACCCAATATCACCGGAAGGAAAAAACTGCGCTACATGCCCACCAAGAAGCGACGCGCCATGTTTTCGATTTTGAAAATGTGGCAATTTTGGACAGCGAAAAAAATGATTTCAATAGATCATTGCTGGAGATGATACACATTTTTTTAAGGAATAAAGAGCACACTTGTAATTTTAGGGCTGATATCGATAAGCTAAGTGTAGTGTATCGTCCATTTTTCCAGCTTGACCTGTCCACTTTCGGGCCACCAGGTGATCAGCCGTACCGAGAAAAATCTTTCAGTGCACCGGTAATCAGGTGACCGAACGGTCTGTTTACAATATTATCAGTCCAGCCCGAGCCATGTAACGGATCTATCACGATCATTTTAGCTTTGTTTTCCTTTTTCTTAAAATGCAGTTGATGATTGGAGCTGTTCAGCCACGAAACGTCCCATAGTATGTTTTAAACTTGTTATTTTCAGTCTTCAGCCTGTATCTATGTTGTGTTTCTTGTATGTAATATTCGGGCTACAAAAACTTATCTCGTCATATTACAAAGTATCGATAAAATATTGACATCACTTCTTTCAATCTTTTGAGCCCTCAAGTGGGGTGACAGAGGGTAAAGCACGTGTTAACCACTGCAAAATATGCTATTTTCCACAACGTTAAGAGTACCTGAGTAACTTTTCTTTGATTCCCAAAATTTGAAAATACACAAGTATCATTCTCTATCTATGATCTAACTCCCTTGAAAATAGCAAGTCAAACTTTGGCAGTCCATGTACAAGGATTTATTAAACACCATTCGGCCCAATATGAGAGTAGGTTGAATTTAGAGACTGAAATGGACAACCAATGAAACTTGGGCTAAAGTACTTAATGGAAATTTTAAAGACAATTCCACAGTTTGCAGACTATTAACTGCAAGGTCCATCTGAAACTGTTGCTGTAGAAGCTTTGACGTAACCGTGGCTCTCTACAGAATAGTTAGGTTGACTGCGAGATGACAGGACTAATACCATAAACAATGGAGTGAATTTCGTTGAGTGATTAACTTATTTTTTGGCTCCATTAACTCAAAAAAAATTCAAGAGACAAATGAAAGAAATCGGTCAATAGACCTTACGGTGGCGAAATCATTGATCCAGCGCTGCTCACCTCTTGCATACCTTCCCAGTGGAATACTACTAATCAAGCAGAGATAAATTGATTGATTACTGAAATATTTCTAAATACTGATAATGCAGTTTTTACCTATACTGTAGAGAGTTCCTTTGTCATAGTTGGCAGCTTCTCTGGGATCAAAGAGAAGGGAGACTTTCCTCCTAGTGTCAACCCCGAAAGAGGTTTGAGGCACCTGCAATCTTTGCAGCTGCTCAAACAAGGATGTTTTGGTCATTTTAACTAGATGTATCACTCACTGCTACAAAAAAAGCAAGGATAGTTAATTCTTGTCTTTCTAATGAGAAAAATCATTCTAGTTGGGGAAAAACAAAGTGGGATTGCATTGGATTTATTCTGTGAATGGACAAACAACACTTCACAGCAACACGTGGGCGATAGACATTCAGCCAAGGCATGGACCAATAGAATAAATAAGGACTCCCAACTCCCTATACTACCCTGTGTTAAA